ACGAAAAATCCATAGTAATCAACGATATGTTGGTAAAAATAAAACGATTTGATTTTTTTTAAAAAAAAATTTTAAATTTAAATTTTATAAATAAAAAAATAAATGTTAAAAAAATTTTTTGATTTGTTTTAATTTTAAATTAATTAAAATTTAATATAATTTTTAAATATCAAAAATTAATAAATAAATAAATAAATAATCTTGTTTTCAACTATAAAACTTTCGCATCAATCGTGCTCGAAAACCCATACCAAACGCTAAATTGATTGATTTTAAAATTATAACTTGTCTTTTATCATATTCAAAAAAAGAAAATTCCCTCCAAACCGCAGCGACCGCCAAAGGAACAGAGCCCCATCGAGAAGAGAAGACTAGAGACCAAAGCACGAAGAAACAGCAAGGCTTCCACGAAAGGAGAAGAAACATCGTTCACAAAGAGGAGAGAAAAAACTGTCACAGACCCTAGGAGCCATTTTCTTACTTAATTAAATCATAAACAGTTACAAAATATATTATTATTTTTAACTAATAATTATAATTATTCATTATTTTTCATGGTCGCCAAAATTAGTATTTTAAAAAAATTTAAAATTTTATATAACTCTAATAATTTATTATGGAGTTAGTGTTTGATAGTTTTATCTCTAAAAAAATTAAAAAGAAAAAAAACAAAAATTATATTAATGCATGTCTTAAAAATAAAATAATTTAATCTTTTTTAATAAAAATTTATTAAAACGAAATAATTTTGAGATAATTTTTTTTAAGAAATAAGACTGATAAACACTATTTTCATTTATTATCTAACCATAACCATTTTCACAACTAATATTATTTTTTAAAAAAATAATACCAACATTAACTCCAGGGAAAAAAATGGCATAGCAATCGCTGCGAGTAAGCTCTCTAATTGCAGGAAGAGATGATGCAAACTATAAAGAAATTCATAAGATACCATGGTCTAAATGACTTTAAAATGCTGGCGTTGATGTACATATCATTCTACTTTTTGTCACAAATGACTTGCGTTCACGTAACCAGTTCACATATTGACCTTGCTCCTTATGCAAGTGGATGAAGAGGTGGAAGTTGGTTAGGCTTTCTCCAATTCACCTGGCTACCAGATACTGCTTCAGTGCTTCTTGTAAATGAATGTCCAAAGTGCTACAGAAAAACATTGACGAGTAGTTGTGAGTAAACAAATATGAACACTGAGATGTCAACAGGGCAAACACGAACAATTATGTTATGCTACAACCCATAATAACAAAGTAGAAAAAGCACCTTCACTGGGTTATGCTTTGTGAATAAGGAATCTAATCGTTAAGAAGCATCGAAAAGTACATTGTGGAGTAATCTTTTGCAGAACGACTCAGTTTTACACGCAAAAGAAAAATAATTCTTGTTTTGTTGCGTTAAGAAAAGGGTGTCTCAAGTATGTCCTATTCCAAATGAGTTGGAAACATTAAGTTACAATAAGTGATATCCTTTTAGTCTGAAATCTGAATAAACTATCTCACATTTCAGAGATTCAACTAGCACGATGAAATCGCGAAATAACATAACAACTAACAATTCTTAACAAGGATAGACATTCTTAGGTTTAGGAAATACCAATAA